TGTCTATAATCATATGGAAAGAAGGGGATGCTGACACAGTTGGCAGGAGTTGCAAGTGGTTCCCTGATATTGCTCATTTGTCTCTCATTAAAACAAGTCCTAGACAGTGTTTCTCAGCCACCAGGCCCCAGATTGATTTTCCCTTGCCATTTCACAGTCTAATGCCTCCTCGTGGCCTGGGGAGGCTACTGGAAGCTACCCATCACGTGGGTATTCCACCCCATGAGTGGGCAGAGATGGACCTTCTCTTTCTCTCCTGTTTCAGGATACAAATGTGTACATAGTGCTTTCCCTTGGAGAGACCTTGATCTCACCTGGCCACATGAGGAGCTGGGGAGTGCAGCATTGTGCATGGCCAACAGAGTTCTTTTCATTAGCCAGGATGGAAGGGAGAATGTCATGAAGAGAGAGGTGGGACTCCGTACTGCAGGTAGAGAATGTTAACACCTCACCAGCTTGTAAGAGGGGTAATGTATGATTTTGAAGTTAAAGGACTTCTGTACTATTTTTAGATTAAAGAGTCTCAATTCTGAGAGATATGGAGAAAAGATAAGATAGGGATATATGAGAATATGCAATAAAGTTGTATTTTGAAGTTAGTTTTGGTCATTTTTTTGCCATGGCTTTAAATATTTGAGGAGTTATGTCCACATTGTATTAAGGTCACCAAACAAGGCCAGGGTCTTCTCAGAGATGATGCTGAAAGAGAAGACAGATTTATCCTTGACATTGAGATTGACTCTCTCGGCCAGGTATTGGGCCCCAGGTTCCTTTTCCCTTGCCATTTCATAGTGACACACCTGTAATCCCAACCACCAGAGCAGCATCAGCAAGTTTTAAGGCAGCCTAGTCAACTTAGTGAGACCCTGTCTCAAAATAAAAATGGCCAAGGATGTAAGTTCAGTGGTAGAGCACTGCTGGGTTCAGTCCCCAGATCCCACCACTTCACATGCTTACTTCCTGTGAATATGGATATAATGCCCATTCCAGGTGAGTCCTCTGGCACGCTGCGTGTCTGTGGACATGAACACATGTGCAAGGCAAAGGGTGGGCTGCAGGTGACTCGGTAGTTCCTGTGCCCTGGCGAGTGTTTAGTCTGCTCACTGGGAGCTCTGAGGGCAGGGTGTAGAGCCCTCTATGCTGTCTTCTTGCATGGTCCATTTTGAACAGCCAGGGGAAGGTGATGGGGCTTGTATAAGGCCCTCCTCAGGGATACAACTGTGTGCTGGTTGCCAGAACCACTGAGTGGTATGGAAAGTGCAGAGCTCAAAGGGAAAGAGAAGCAGACCCTGTCAGTCAGTGGGAGTCTGTCTCTCTTGCAGGGCAGGGTTAAAATAAACAATCAGGAGAGCTCTAGGGCTGGATGTAACTCAGTGGTAGAGCACTTGCCTAGCCTGCATGAGGCCTTGGTTTCCATCCCCAGTACTGCAGAAAATAAAAATAAAAAGATGAAAGATTCCAGTTTAAAATTGATCCTGAAAATAATTGTAGGTCCCAGATGCCCTGAATTGCTGGAGCTATGTGGCTGGTTCTGAGCGCTTGTTCTCTTATGGTATCTGTGAGGCTTTGCTGCGGGTGGTGGTTCACACCTGCCTCTCTCCTGGAGAGGGGAAAACTCTACAGTGGCTTCTCCCTTCCAGAGCCTGATGGCACTGCACGCTGAACACGTGCATTGAGCCACATGAACACTGCCTTCCTATGGCTTGGGTCCAGATTGTTGGAGTCACAGAGAGCAGACCACAGGAACCCTTCACCCCTGCAGCAGGAAGGCAGGGAAAGGAGCTTAGACCCCCCCCCCCCCCCCCGCTACATGGCCCCTTGCTGGTCCCTTCTGGCCTGCTGCAGGTTCTCCCCTCCCTTGCCCTGCCACAAGTTCTGTGTATCATCTTTCTGAGTCTGGGGACCCATGTGGTTGTCCCCATGGTAGCTCTGCCCCATTCCCAGTGTCCATGCACCTCTCCATTCCTGCCCGTACCTTCAGGCCTCCAGCACCAGGTCCACGGGAGGCAGTTTGCCTGGAACCCTAGAGTCATCCCCTGAACCCAGCCCTGCCAGTCCTGTGGAACGTTGATGGAAAAGCCCTGTGTGTGCCCTATCTAGTTTGGTATCCACTTGCCACACAGGGGTATTGACCACTTGAGAAACAGTGAGTGTGGCCAGGAACGGAATTTTAAATTGATTTTAATAAATGGAGGTATAAATGGGTGCACATAGCTAGTTGCTACACTGTGTTGGACAACACAGTTCTCACTTCATGTTAATAGCCTGTCATTTGTGTGTGGCTTCACAGGTCCCTCTGGACTGATGTGGGACCCTAGTAACTGATGTTCAGGGACTGGGCTTGTAGCTCATTGGTAGAGCGCCCGCCTCACATGTGTGAGACACTGGGTTCGATCCTCAGCACCCCGTAAAAATAAAGATATTGTGTCCAACTACAAAAAAAAGTTTTTCAAATGTGAAAAAAAAACAACTGATGCTCAGGTTTAGGAGTTGGTGTTTGACAACATTCTGAAAGCTTCCTCTGAACTAGTTTCTTATCAAATTAGTTTAAACGCATTTAGGAGATACTCTTCAATAGTTAATAATTCAGTAAAGATTCATAGAGGCCAGTAGTTTTGTTGATGAGTGTAAGTCGCATCTTATCTCAGTCACAGGTAGGACGGTTGTGTAGAGTTTGGCCTCAAAGAAGTTGTATGTCACATGGGTGAAACCAGTGCAGAGGTCTATGCCTGCTGAACCATGGCTACCCAGCTTGGAGAGGACAGCCTGCGTGACCTCGCCTGGCCTCCCAAGAGAGGATTAAATTTAGTCTCTATAGCAGGCCTCCAGAAGCATGAGCGGCCCTGGCACTTCTCCAGTTGCCTGCAAAGAGCCCTGCAGCAGGCTGCTCCCTGTGGTGGATTGCCTAGGCTTTCCATGTCTGTGTGTCCTTTGGCCTTGTTTTATTTTACCACCTGCCAGACATCTGAAAGAGTTCTGATGTACTGGTATAACTCCATTATTATTCAAAAGTAGTAGGGAAAAAACTGCATACATGCCACTTGTTGGCCTTGAGCTTTTCTTTTTAATGTAGGCCTCCTCCCTTTGAAGTAGGAGTAACATAGGAACAAGCCATTTCCAAGAAATATGCTGTCTTACTTTTCTTCAAACATGCAACCCTCTTGGTCTATCTTTAATTTTCCCATTTGTAACACAACCCAGCATAAGATTTTTTTTTTCCCTCTTACTTGGCTCTGTGAAAATTAGATGTGCAACCGTTGGGGTTAACAGGCATTGACAGCCTCACTGCCTGCAAGAGCACCTTTCCGCTCTGGCCCTTCCCTCCACCAGAGATGGCCATGGCCAGTATCCTTGTGGATTCCCACTAGGAAGGCTCATCCCCTGCCCAGCCTCTTGTGGCCAGAACTACCTCCCTGCTGTGCGTAGGGAGGGACACCAGCACTCACTCTGTCATTGCTCTGCAGCTGTGCACATGCTCTGCCCACCCCACTGTATTGCTGTCTCTGGGGCACCATCAGAGCCCCCATCCTTCTGCCCTGCCACTTGCACCTCCACTGGGTTTCACAGGTCACATCTCCCTCTGCGCTAAACAGGCATGGGCAGCAAAAGCTTTCCTGGCCCGGAGAGCTGATAGGATGTTTAAGGAGATAAGGAAGCACATTCTTATCTAACGTTTGGCACCAGTGCATGCAATCTGTTGTGACTACAGAGTTATACCCAGGCCCTCCCACAGCAAAGCCAGGTCCACATCCAGGATGCTCCGATTTGGCACTTGGGTGGGCATGTTTCTCTTTGCATCCAGTACCAGATAGGTAGTAGCAGTTCCAAAAAGGTAAGAGAGAAGTTACAAACAGAAGGGTTTCAGAGAAACTGAAAACCAGGAATAGTTAAGTGAATTGGCTGGTAGGTAAAACCAGGAAATGGCTTGTCACGGAGCTAAGGAGATGTGTAGGGTGTGGAGCATGATGATAAACACAAGTAGACCCATATCTGAGGCCAGCGCTGGCTTTAGCACGGAGTCTACTGGTCGGGTGCTGCCTTGCCTTGTGCTGGAGGTATTTGGCCACAGGTGAACCCTGTGTGCTGACTCGGCTGTACTGCCTGTGTGTGTTCATAGATCCACTGACGTGGGTCTGCAATGGGGGTCCCCGGTTTTGATCCTTCATGTTCAGTGCATTGTGTCCATGCACCTGTGCTTCACCTTCCACTGGTCCTTCTGTATTCCCCACTTAGACTCCCAAGTGTGAAGGCCTTGGTTTCTCTCAGTAGCACTCAGGTGCCATCTAGTGGCCGTGACTGCTGGGAAACAGCTCCCACAGAGGCAGAAGAGTGAGACTGGGCCATTCTTCCCAACTGTTTTCCTTGCTGTCAATAATGACGAATTTAGGGATATAGCTTGACTTACAGAAAATTGCTGAGATTTCCACACTTGCAGCTTTTTGACTAGGACAAATCACTTCTGTTTGTTTGTTTTTCCTTTCGTGAAACTGAATGATAAATAATGATAAGGTGAATGATTTCTTTAATCAAAAATGTTTATTTTAAAAAACAGCTAAACTTTTAAAATAAATCCAGGGGATTTTTTAAAATTTCACAAGTTATGTCCTACTTTCTTTAAAAATACAGTATTACCCACTTGGAATTGATGTTTACAAGGATAAACTCGCAATGTCTGAAAAAGACCAGTTTGGGCTTTTTTTTTTTTTTTTTTTTGTACTCACAATTTATAAGGAAGCAATATTTTATAAGGCTTTTCAACAGTAAGGGTGAAAAAAATAAAGATTTCTACTTAAAGCAGTTGTGTTCCCGTTTTCTGCACATAGCTAGAAAATGATCCCCCATGCGTGCACTGGTAACTTGGAACTTGTCTCACCTGGTTCCTTCCTGCATAAGATGTGGAAGGATAAATGATGTAAAGTGCTCTTATGTTTTGCAAGTTTGTCATTATATTAATTGCTTTGGTGGTGTTATTTGTTAATATGCTTCTTTTTATATTTCAGAAAAGATGTTGGTTTAAAGCGATTTTTTCCTAAGAGTTTACTGGATTCTGTCAAGGTAATTAGAGTCTACTTTATCATAATCAAATAATGAAATCATACCAATACCTTTTCCCCAGTGATTAATTGCTTTTGGGAAAATGAAATGGTGTAGTTTTCTCCCTTATGTGTGAAAGCTATCGTGTAAAAATCTGGCAGTTAATTCTAGTTCTGTCAATGGCAAGGAGATTTTTATAGGTCGGCCTTCTCCCACAAAACCATGGTTTCACCACTTCATCATATGTGATACTCAGCTGAGTATAAAACTAGAAAGCTAGATGCAATGTCCCTGTTATCTGGGTTTTCAACATCTCGGGTACTTGAGCATACAGAAGGAGAGGAACCCTGTGTGAAAGAATCATGGTGAGGAGATGAAGAGGCATATGTGCGTGTCAGTGTGCATCTGTACGTGCCACAGGGCTGGGTTGGGACTGTGCAGGGCTGAGTTGGGACTGTGCAGGGCTGCTTCCTGCTAGATCCACAGCACAGGTCCACACATCCTGGTGCATTGGGAGCACACAGATTTGGACATCGAGACAAATTCCAGCTCAGATGAGCTTGCCGTTTGCTAGCTTCATGCTATGGGACCTAGTATCTTATTTCCATAATGAGGGAAATACAGTGTTGATGTGACCATATATGCATCCCTTAGTACATGTCACATAGAAATTCACAAACAGTGGCTATTACTGCTCTTATTCTTTACTAAAATGTCTTGTTCTGCATTCCCTGGCATGCATCCTGAGAGAATGTAGCGTAAGAGTTCAGAAAACTGTAAGGGTTCAGGAAACGGCTCCCAAGGCCATTTGGTAAGAACACTGCTTCTATGGGACTTGCCTGGGACTTTGGTCCATTACTTTCTGTATTTCATTTCCACATCTGTAATGCGAGGGAAGCCAGTTTTTAGTACATAGTGCACAGGGCTCCGTGTGAAGGTTCAGTGGGTTGTGTGTGTGAAGTCTGGGAATTAGGAGCCCTGGCTGAGCGCAGCCTGTATGTCCAGCCAAGAGGAGCAGCAGTACCTTGTGCCCATCGCAATGCCTGCTGGGCTGCTCCCTGTTGCACATCTCAAAGACCCACTGGTCCTGGTGGCTGTCAGGGGATGAGGGTGCCAACATAACTAATCGAGTGCACTCTGTGAGGAAAGCTTGCCCGGACCTCTGTCCCAGCACTCAGAGCCATTGGGGCCAGGTCTGAGGACCAGAGTCTGGAGTCACAGCTCTCGCTTCCTCATACAGCTTCTGGGGAGCCTGTGGGGGGACAGTGCAGAGGTGTCAGGTCTGTGGTGTGCAGCAGTCTCCAAGTCCAGCATGCATGTGTGCAGGAGTGGCGGGGGTGGAGCCCAATCCCCAGGCCCTTTCTCCAATCCTTTCACGCACCTTTCACGTGCTCATTACCACTCCTCATCTACCGCAAACACTAGAACAAGCCCGAGGACGCAGCTTTCACAGCCCACACGGGTAGTGTGGCAAAGGTGGAGGGTACAAAAGTGGACGGAGACTGTCCCAACCCTCGAGCCAGAGTGCATATTTGGCAGTGGGGACAAAGAGCTTTAGTGAAGTGGAGAGGTTTGTGGCGATTTCCAGGGCACCCAAGGAACAAGAGGATGAGGGAGTAGTGCCTCCTGGGGTGGGCTGGCGTCGGGGCTGGCCACCTGCTGGACCTGGGAGGATGAGGCCTTTGCTGACTGGAATGTCTGGGGTGAGGCCTGGGGAGCCTGGGGGAGAGCCCAAGTGGGAGAGGGGCCCCTGGGCTGCCACTGCTGGGGTGCAATGAATTTCGAGGATCATGCTGGAGACGTTGACAGGGGAAGACCAGGGTGTCGAGGACTTCACCTTGCCATCAGGTGGAAGAGCGTGCTGCCCACTGTTCACCACGTTGGAGTATCAACCAGGGCTCGCCAGTGGGGGCCCTTGCTGGCCTCAGAATTATCGCAGGTCTCCTCAGACCTGTAAGTTCAGAAACTGATGTCACAGGAAGCACGCCTTCTGTCACTTGGAATTATTCTAGATTTAGAAGCCATCCTTGTGTCTGGAGCTGTAGCTCAGTGCTAGGGCACTTGCTTAGTCTGCAAGAGGCCTGAGCTGTGGCTACAGGTCATAGTGCACAGGTGAGCACAGCAGGAGGGAGGCAGGTGCCATGGGGGTCAAGGGAGCCCTGGCTCTGCCCCCTGCCTGACTCAACCAACTCAGTTCTAGGGCTCTCTCCCAATATCCCTCACCAAAGTAGAGGGGGAATATCACTCCTTGTAATTATAGGACCTTGCTCTGTATTTTAATTGTTCATTTCACTCTCAATGTGTGAACCCACTGCTATTTCCTTGTTTGCATTTGTCTGCCTGCCTGCACTGAGCTGTAAGATCCATGAGACCAAGAGAGTATCTCTGCATCCTCCATGCTCCGTGTGGGGCTTGGTTAGTACCTGGCACATAGCAATAGTTTGCAAATTCTACTTAAATGGAAGAAGGAAAATCTTAACAGCAGTGTGAAAAATGAAAAGTAGAGAAGATGCTGGAGCAAGGTTAAGATGTGGAATAGCCCTGAAGTGCAGATTAAGAAAGGTGGTGGAATTGAGAGCTAGGAAAGTCTGCTTCTCTGGGTTTTCCTGCTGTTCTGTTGCCACACCACAAAAGAGAGCCACCCACTACAGACCTGCACCTGGCAGTGCAGAGCAGAGCTCAACCTGCTTGGGGGTCCGGCTAAGCAGAGCCAGTCTGCCTTGCTGTGGACCTTCACTCATCGGGCACTGGAAGACTGAGCACTTGCTGCAGATTTTGCAGGGCGGGAGAGACATGATCACCTTTTTATTTTAAAATGTAATTCCAGCAGCAGCCTAGGAAATAGGTGGAAAGTCTGTTAACCAGAGGCAGGAAAGCATAGGAGTGATGAAGATGAATGAGGCTTGCTGTGACTAAGTCCTAGGGAGGGATGGCCGAGGACTTGAGGAAACCTGCGGGAAGCACAGAGCACTTGTGCTTTTTCAGAAAGTCGATTGCTGCTGGTCTTGATGCAGGCAGAGTTGATTTTTAGCTACTCTCAGCTACAGAATCATCAGATTCATGGAGCCGCTCACAAATGAGGTTCTTAGCACTGGCTTCTGATATGCCCTTTTAAATAAAAAGAATCAACTTTGTAAGTCAGATAGTGTTGATTGGACTTCTTAAATAGTTTAATTGGAATTCATATCCTCAGAGCAAGATTTCTTCAACTTCTACATAAATTGTTGCAGTGTTGGTTTATTTGCCATCAAACTTTCGTGGATTATGGTACGAAGATAAAGTTGTTCCTGTGACGTGTATGACAATTACAGTACAAATCAGTGGTGTTCAGACAGTCCTTTCTTCAAAATGCTGTTGAAACTTCATCTTACAAGATATTGACACCTGCCTTGTTTCTTCTAGAATAGTTCTGTAGAGTGGTTGGGCCAGTTTCCAATTGTTTTTCCATAAACAAACTATGTCAATACATTTGTTTTTCCAAAAATCAATTTGTTTTACCTGCCCTTTCCCCTTACATTTGGATTTCTAGAGGCTTGTTTGCAGTTAACATTCACATGGAACTGTTGAAGGATTACCTTACTGTACTTGGTGGACCATGAATTAACTAGGATGGACGTGCAAAACAGAAATTAGAAAGATGCTTTAAATTTAGTATTGCCAGAAACATGTTTTTAAAATCACTGTACCAGCAATATGAGTAAATCAAACCCATGTCCAGGGACATTGCAAACTCTGATCATCAGGGTCATGAGCAGTGAGGAGACCAAGAGGCTGCCCCAGCTGGAGCGGCTGAGGATAAGATATGTGAGTGCATGTGAAGTCTGGATGTGAGGGATGGCAATGGCCCTGGTGAGCGCTGCGCCAGGTGGGTGAGGGTGTCTTGTTCGTCAGGGCATACACCCACGGAGCACACCGCTGCCTCTGTGGCTTTGCTGTGGGCCTGAAATTGCTGCTGTAGGTAGCAAGTCATAATTCAGTAGAAATCTAATTTCAGAATTAGCAATGTTAAGAGATCAGTAATAACAGGTTTGTTGGGTTCCCAAGTTATAAGATAACATGGTTTTTTATAGTACTATTAGGACCATTTAATTTTACTCTTAAAGAAAGTAGCCTTGGGCTGGGGTTGTAGCTCAGTGGTAGAGCACTTGCCTACCATGCGTGAGGCACTGGGTTCGAGCCCACATACCCCATAAAAAAATAAATAAACAAATAATATTGTGTCCATCTCCAACTAAATTTTTTTTTTTTTTTTTTTTTAAAGAAAGTGCCTTTACCTTCATTCTTATGATGAGCAGGAACACATGGATTCCTACAGTCCTGGCAGGGAGTTCCTGGCATGGAGAGTGTGTGGGGCCCCGCCTGGCTTGAAGCTTGCTGTGGATCTAGGCCCTATAAACAGGAGGGAATGTGCTTAGCATGCACTGCTGATTGTCCGTCCTGAACTCTGTAGGTGACTTATTCTTTTTTAGCCCCACATTATACTCTTTTCATGTGAGAGACCTAGGAACCCATTATTGCTAGAAATAGCTGAAAACCATTTGGTTGATGAATAAGAAATTATTTGCTGTTTTAACATGGCTGAGTAGTTCTAATTTCTGATAGTTCAACCTACTAATTTTCTGCTTTGTTTTGAAGAAGCATCACATTCTTAGTCATTCTCTCTCCACATGTGAGTTGGTTTAAAACTGAAGCATGTGTGCAGCCGAGTGCCTTGCTTCCTAGTTCTGGGCAGACACACCGCAGCACTGAACCCTGAAATGCGCTGCAGGACTGCCTTGCATCCGCGAGTTCTGGAAGTACGCGGGTTAGCATCAAGAGATCCTGGGAAGCTGGGCTTTATGAAATTCTCTCCTCTCTGAGAAATTAGGAAAGTACTAGTGTTTTCTAAGGTATCCCCCTTATGAAGACTGACCTTGGAACTTCTTTCAGTTGGCAAAGGCTTTCTAGTTCTAGTTAAGTGCTGGAACTGTCAGATGGCCAAGATCTGGTTTAGATCTCATCTATACCATAGCATTCTGCCC